CTTTAGTGAACATACCATTTGGACCAAATTTATCATAATATGTTGATTTTGGTATCTTGCCTTTCATGTATGGACCTCATTTTGTCTTTTCCAATAAATTATTATCCTTCCACACTAAATCTAATTTTAATCTTTGATTTATTTTAATCTCTTCTTCTATATCTTCTTCATCATCCCAACCACTATCATCATCATCACCCCACTCTTCATCATTATTAATAACATCCAATTTGTCCAATTCTGCTTCATCTCCATCATCAACTAGATCATTAGCATGTTTCCCTGTATTATCCCAACCATCATTCTCATTATTCAATTTTTCGCTAATATTAGTAACACCCAACTTATCCAATTCTTTCTCTTTCAGATTTTCCTTCTGCCTTGTTTTGTCAACTTTATTATTAAAATTACATACCCTTTTTAATAAATACTTACCTTCTGCATCTCTTGGTTGATCTTTAAATTGTCTTTTTCTTTTAGAAAGGGTGGCATTTTTTGTTTATCTGTAATAATTAATATGAAACAAAAGATTTTACGTGTATATGTTACAATTAATATTAAAGATTTTACGCGTACGTGTTTCATTAAAAATAATTTATTCATTGGCCAGAAATTTTCACGTGATAAAATGATCAACAAATGGATTCTGATTGGTAATGATCGGCTTCCGAAATTTGAAATTTATTAATAAAATTGACTATTTTTAAACACTATCAGCTCCCAAAAAAATTAAGCAATTAAAAAATTTTAATTAAAGTATTATTTGCATCGTGTATTTTTTAAAAAATTTTAAAATTGGTGGACTAGATACAGTTAGAAGTCACATGAAAATTTTTGATGAGTATAGGTGATACGCACCATATCAAAACAAAATTGGTTACACGACATAATCCCTTGGGGTGTCTAATAAGGATTTTTTAGGGGTTTTGCGGATTTATTATTATTTTTTTGGTGCCACAAAAAATTTTTAAATTTATTATTATTATACAAATTGGCAAACTTCGCACTCAAAATAACTCTTAAACTATATGTCATATTCAAATAACAATTTATGTTTTAGATTCACTTTTTGATGCTCTTTAAACTAATAGAGAGCTTTTTACAATTTTACTTGCATAAAATT